CTCCTAGTCTTTTATAAAAAAATTGCTTTTGCTTTTTAAAATTATTATTTTTTTTAATTGGCAAATCAAAATTATGTACATTTGTTGGGGTACAAAGTGACATTTTTATATTTGTATACAATGTGGCAAGATTAAATCAAATTAATTAACAGATCCACCACCTCACCTTCTTATCATTTTTGTGATGAAACATTTGAAATGTACTCCCTTAGTTATTTTGAATTGTACAATACATAATTATTGGAGATAGTCACCCTGCTGTGCAATAGACTCCAAATGTATTCCTTCTGTTTACTGGAAACTCTTTAGCCATCAGCTCCCCATTCCCTCCTTCCTTCCCACTCCCAGCCTCTAGTTACTTCATTCTATTTTCTGCTTCTATGACTTTGACATTTTTAGACTCTACATGTAAGTGAGATCATGTGATATATGCCTTTCTTTCTGTCCCTGGCTTATTTTGCTTAGCATAATGTCTTCCAGGTTCTTCCATGTTGTTATAAATGACAAGATTTCCTTCATTATTAAGGCTGAATAGTATTCCATTGTGTACATATGCTACCCTTTTAAAATCCATTTATCTGTTGATGGACACTTAGGCTGATTCCATATCTTGGTTATTGTGAATAATGCTGTAAAGAAAATAGGAGTGCAAAAAATATACCTTTAACAGATTGAATTCAATTCCTTTGGATATGTATACCCAGAAGAGAGACTGCTGGATCATATGGTAATTCTATTTTTAGTTTTGGAAGAATCTCCATACTGTTTTACATAATAACTGTACTAACTTACATTATTACCAACAATTTACAAGGTGTCCCTTTTATTTGCATCCTTGCCAATACCTTTTATCTTTCATCTTTTTGATACTAGCCATTCTAAAAGGTGAGACATGATATCTATGAAACCACAAAAGGTCTCAAGTAGCCAAAATAATCTTGGATACAAAGAACAAAGCTGGGGTCATCACACATTCAGACTTCAAAAATATTATAAAGCAATTATAATCAAAACAGCATGGCAGTAGAATAAAAACAGACACATCAATGAATGGAACAAACAGAAAGCTGAGGAATAGACTCATGTATTTATAATAAATTGATTTTCAACTAAGGTGTCAGGAACACATGATTGGCCAGCCTCTGCTGTAAATTTTATGGGGAAAACTGGATAGCTACATGCAGAAGAAGGAAATTAAATCCTTATCTCACACTATATACAAAAATAAAATGGATCAAATACTTAAATATGAGACCTGCAACTGTAAAACTACTAGGAAAAAAAAGAGAGAAGGCTCCATTTTGGTCAATGATTTTTTTTTTTTTTTAATATAAATCCAAAAGCACAGAGAACAAAAGCAAAACTAGACAAATGGAATTGCAAATGGAATTAATTTCATTCGAAATCAAATTAAAGGCTTCTGCACAGCAAATACAACAACTAACAAAGTGAAGAGACAATTCAGAGTGGGAGAAAATATTTGCAAACCATGTATCTGATAAGGGGTTAATATCCAAAATAAATAAAAAACTCAACTCAATAGCAATAAAGCAAATAACCCCATTTAAAAGTAAGCAAAAGACCTAAACAGACAATTTCTAAAAATACATACAATGTTTAACAGGTTTATGAAAAAAAATGCTCTGCATCACTAATCATTAGTAAGATATAACCATAAAACCATAGTGAGATATAACCTTCTCCTAGCTCTTACCCCATTGAACTCTAGTGGCCTCTTGGCTGTGCTGCCGTTATTGTGAGGTTAGACTGCCCATATTTTTCTGACCCACCTGGAAGCATATAATTATTATTTATAAAATAAATTAATTCATAAGGTTACTTTCTGTATAGTTTTTGATGATTTCCTATTTTCCACTTGGCAATATGTCTCTTTTGTCTTCCTTTAGGAAGGTAAAATGCTGTAATTTTTTTTCTATCAATGTTATAAGCTTTCTAAAATTATTAATTTGAATTGTATGTTTTTAAATTTTTCTCATACTCCTTTTAGCATTTCAGATGCCACACTCTTATGATTACTATGTTTCAAATGTTCTTTCTAGAGAAAAAAATGAGTCACGGTTTGATTTTTATGTGCACTGACAGTGACCTCAAAATGTTACTTTATTATGCATAGCTCATAGTGCCTTAGATTTATTCAATTGGAAAAGTCAAATTGTTTGATTTCTAATTCTGCTAATGCAATGCTGTTGGGCCAAAGGGAGATAGAGAGAAGTCTTAAAATTGCGTGCCATTTGTATTAATTAATAATTGGCTTAAGTCTCTTTAGTAAAGATACAATATCCCATTAATTATATTAGGATCCCACTATTATGGAGTGAAAATAAGGTAAAATATGTGGCAGGCTATTTTCCCAATAAAACTTTGCACAACAGTTTTAGAACATTAGTAAATTGTGTTTTATGAATACATGTAATAATCCAATTTTTCCTTGACTTGAAACTACCAATATGAGTGACCAGAGAAGTAAGTTTATATTACACAGTATTAAAGATAATTTATAGTTACTTTTTCAGAGGTATATTTTATTAGTGAAATTTCACAACAGATAGGAACATGAAATAGGATACTGACATTTTGTAAACTCATTGTGCTAGGCTAAAAAAGAAAATTCTGTTCTAGAGACATCTTTCTTTCCAACTTTAAATTGTTCAGGAAGATGTATTTGAATTCACTGACCTTGTATTTACTTACCAATAGCAAGTAACAGGTACATTAAAGAATACAAAGACATTGAGTTTCAACATCTAACCAGGAAGTGGTTTCTTAGGATAGTTATGCAGGCAATACATTCGTTTGTCTTTTCAAATTATTTTCCTTTGTCCAGCGAACTAACCATAGCTAACTACCAGGTACAGGTTTTTAGTAAAGACTATTAGGTTATCAGCAGTGCCTCTTATTTCTGCTCTCCAATCAGCAGATTCTCTCTTTTCTGCTCCCCAATTGTAGGCTCTAGATAACCATGTTTCTGCTGTGCAGTTCTGCTTACCCACGTTCATAGTCATGACATGTCTGCTGTGTTGAACCTCAGTATATCCAAAACTTAATCTGCAGGACAGATCTCTGGATGGCTTTGGACTGACCCAATTCACTCCCACTTTCCTGCGTGTAGTTCTTGGAGAAACTGTAGAATGTGCTGGGACTACATTCATCCTGAGACATAGGCAAAAACTGCCTGAAACAGTCTGGGTCTTGTTCTTGTCCCAACCAGAAAATGTAACATCTTGAGCTAGGGAGGAACTGTCTGAGACAAACTGGGCTTTGTTCCCTCTTCCTCTGCAAGCAGGATGTCCTTCAAATCTTTGCCCAGTGAGTTATATTGCCCTGAGGTATATAACTTGTGTTGGGACAACTTCTGGGGTCCCTCAGCCACAATACAAGTGGAACACCCAAGGTTCAGCCTTCCTCCATCTGCCCCAGGCAGCTTTCTTGAGCCTTGAGGGACTGGATCACAGTGGATCCTAGGCTGCTTTTGTTGCTTGCTGCCTATCTGTAAGTAATAAATCTATTTTATGTAACTTGTTGTGGGTGAGTGTTCTGTCTCATCGGACTTAGGCAACTGGTAAAACTACAGCCCAAGGTGCAGTGGGCAAAAGTGTTTGGAGTCCTATTTCTGGAGGTTGGTGTAGTCATAATCTTTGCTATTCTCCATACAGTGGGAGTTCTCTCTTGGTGCTAGTAATTGGAGAACGTGGTCCACACTACATTGTGTATAGTAGAGGCTCAACAACTTTTGAATGAATGTGTACATGAAAATAGGCACCTGACTTAAGTCGGGCTGTTCAAATCTTGTCACTTGAAAATTGCAACAGAGAATTATGGTATTGTATTGGTGGCTACATCACATCAATAGTAGATGTTCAAGAGGAAAAAAGCTACAAGTTGTGATGCCAACTTACCCATGCCTGGTCAGGTTCCTATTTCACTGAAGTGTGGTTGCCTAGCTTTAATTATAAGAGATACTCCAGTATATCTATTAAACAAGTTACTCTTTCTTACAACCATGAACTCATGCATTGTGCAACTAAACCATCACTTTGATCTTCTGAAAGTGTTTATACATGTGGGGGTAGAAATAGATGGCACATATGCACATAAATATGAGCACGTATTGATTGTGTTTCTCTAATTATAGCCGACACAAATGAAAAACTAATTGTAATATGTATTTGTGAATGGGTGTTATTGATTAACCTAGAATTACACATTTAGTTATCACTTTTTATGTGTCTCTCAGCATAGAATATATATGTATCTGGATATAAAAATTTGGGAGGGAACGTTTTAAAAATTGGCATGGGCTATGTGTATGCACATAGATGTGTTTAAGACTGTGTGATTATAATGTATGTTCTCATTTATTATGGGTTATCATTATGGATTGAAGGTTATTGTGCCCCCTTTTATCATGTCAATATTATAGAGGAAGCTTAGTTTTCTGTTTATTTTATGTGAATATGTGTGTTGTATTTGTTAATTTAAAAATCATTCTGACTAAAGAACAACAAAAATAACATGAAAAAACCAAGGTATTTATCACTTGTTTATTCATTGCTTCTTCCTCTTTCTCCTCCTCCATTAGCCTCATCTGTTTTGATTCATTAAACTAGTCATCTTACATGCAACATCTTTCCATTTACAATTTCTTCTACTTAAGAGAAATAAATATTAATATCTAATTTGGAGGTTTTCATTTCCTATTATATTCTTTTATATGAAAACATTGTAGTTACTTTGACTAATGCCATTTTGATTAATCTTTTAAAAATATTATAGACCCTTTGGAGAACAGAATATTCCCAGTTTACTGATTATCAGATGATATTTAGATATTTAATTTCTGTTTAATTTTTATATATTGGGAATGATGAATAGATGATAGATTACTGTAAATCTGTTCTTTCTTCTAAAATGGAAACATCTTAAAATATTTCTAAATAATTATAAATATGTAATTCTGAATACATTTTCCTGACATTAAGGGGTGTTTTAAAGATGTGTAGATGAGAAACTCAAGATTTGCCAAATTTCTGTTTTGCAGGAGGTCTTATTCCAGGATTGGTAATTATCATTTAATGGAGAGAAGCTTTAAGGTCTGGATCCCATATACCCTAGAATTCTAATTCCAATGTTGCAAACATGAGAGTAATTCAAGATTTGGTGTCAGAATTTTTTTATCTCGTTTTGGGAATAGTGCAGGATGTTTGTTTTTCCCCAAAACTCAGAATATTCTGGAAATGATTTTCAGTAGGGCAAAGGTAGGGTCAGTCATTCAGAGGGTATTGACTAATGCTTTATTGAGGTCTTGTGGAGGTAGTTTTAATGTTGGCAATTTTTCCATTTGCATCTTTCTCATCTCCCAACCTTATGTTCATTAATTAATGAAGAGACTTTAGAATTTGAAAGGACAATGAGATAACACAAAGGGTCAAATTAGACTCAGGAGCAATCACAAGACACAGGAAAATGCTTCTTTCTTTGAAGAAGTCCAAAAGAAGTCCCACACCATTAACAGAGCTCCCAGAATGTCCTTTTTCTTCAACATTGCCAAAGCCTGTCATTCCCCAATAAACCCACAAATCTCAGGTTTTTAAAAATTAGTAATCTAAAAAAAAAAAAAAAAAAAAATCACACGTATCCTGCTAAAAGCATTTTGTAGATAAGTGCTCTCCATCACATTTCTGCTAATATCTTTACCCGGAGGTCTAGTTAAGAGCCAGGTTTACAATGGCATTGCCTATGGTCATTATGTATTGTTTTATCATTTTAGAAATGTTTGTGTTTCTTGGTTTTATTCAGTTTGTCATAGTTGTCTACAGTATTTTTTTTTTTTTTTTGTATTTTAGGGTAATCCAAGATGGATCAGAAATTCAGGATCTTCACGGTTAACGTGGTGGCAGTCAGAAAGAAATGCAATAGAACTGATTTAAGCTCTAGATCATGATAGCCTGTGATGTGGTTATGATCTGTTATTGTTTGCGATTTTCTGTACCATCATATAGTAATGACAGTTTGTTATGTAGTGGAGATGACTGCACCAGACCTATGTAAAAATTTAGTTTCTACTAAAAATATTCTTCTTGAAGCTTATGAGACTATTTTAAAGTAAATAATTTCCTAAAGAAATAGGCCTCTGGTGAAACACCAGGGAATAAAGGAAATAAATTGAGAAAAATGCCACAAGCTTATTTTTATTGATCCCATTCCCATAGGTTTAAATGTAATTTTTAATTAGAGTGTATCACAGAAAATACCCTTTTCAATTTATTTTAAAAGATTTGATCATATTTTTGCCCTTTTAACTTATATCTAGAGCAACACATACTGTGAAAAGTTTAGAAAAGTTAAATCTGAAGTCTGCCCTTGACGTGACTAGTCAATTATTTCTTAAATAAATGATAATAAAAACTTAAAAAACAGGTAAACAGAGCTGGCTTTTCTGTCTCCAAATTGAGTATATTGATATGTAATTCATAAAATTATTAAATTTTATAAAATACACTATTGTTTATCTAAATTTGATGATGTTGATTTTAGGAAAAGTTGATCATATAAACATTAAGAATATTGATGAGTATATATGAACTATTTAATTGTTATATTTGTTCAGACAATTCAGTGTAGTTATTATCTTTGCCTGATAAACTACAATAAAAATGGACTTTTTGTTGGCATTGCATAAGAAGCATCTAAATTTTCAGAGGTGCAAACAATTTTTCTTTAACTTCAGTTTTTTTGTTTCTATTTTTTATAGTTTGACAATGAAATTCTACATGCATCTGGAATTTCAAGGTAATCTATTACATTTTAAATAATTTGAAGCTTGACAAGTTATAATATACAAATGATAAATATCTGTGCTGTTGCTGGGCTGGTTCACCCTCAGGAGATCAATTCCTCATTTTTTCCCATAAAGGAAAATCACAAGGGTATTGATCCAGCAGGAGGTGTTTCTTCCATGTCAGTTGGCTTCTAGATGGATTTAGCTAATGGGAGGTACTTGTTGGCACTGGAGGAGAAGTTGGTTTGCTTTTCCTCTTCCTCTTTGCTTTAGGCAGCACTTCTAGCAATAGCGGTACCACTTCCACGGGTCCAGACCCTGCTTGAAAGGTACATGTTGGCCCCAGTATCTTGGAAATCCTTGGCTGGTTCCAGGCTCCATAATATTACCCACTCCATGTTGTCTCTGTAGCCTGTGAGTAATGGTGACCTTATGTCTTTTTAAAATCTCAGCATTGCTTCCTCTCCTCTATGTGGCTATTCAGTTCTGTCATCAGATATATATAAAATTTGCTGCATTAAATTTTATATCAGTTCCAAATACCTTGTTTCTGTTTCCTGGTCGAGCCATGGCTGATACATTCTTCATATTAATTTTAAAGAATGCTAATCTATAATTTAAAATCATTATAAATTGGAAAGCTCATTGGAAAATGTGCATTTCTTATGTTTAGATTAGATGATTGTACTGGACTGAATGTGTAGGTCCTCCCAAACCTACCCCCAAACTCATACGCTGAAACCCTAACTTCCAGTGTTATAGTATTAATAGGTGGGGCCTTTGGGAGAGGATTAAGTCATGAAGGTGGAGCCCTAATAAATGGAATTAGTGCCCTCATAAAAAGAGACACACTTATGCTATCTTTATCTTTCTTTTCCTCTGTCTCTACTCTCTGCCATGTGAAGACACAATGAAGAGATGAACATGTGCAAACGAGAAAGAGTACCCTTACCAGACAGACACTAGAGCTCGCAGAAATTTGATCTTGGACTTCCCAGCCTCTAGAACTGTGAGAAATAAATGTTTGTTGTTTATGACACTTAGTCTATGGTATTCTGTTATAGAGCAGTTTGAGCTGACTAATGCAATATTATCAAGTCAAGAAAAACAATTGGGTAATTTATTAAGATTCTTTTCTTTTATAGCAGATAATTTATTTCAACATTACTTAAAAGTATTGAAACTTTTCTATGCTGGGAATTGCAGTGCTGCTGGTGAAAGTGGTGCCAGAGTTTGTGTGTATGTCTGTGTGTGTGTCTAATCGCATTCAGGGAGCATTTGTTTAGTCTGTTTTAAAGCTATCAGAGCTAACATTTGTGTATGTTTGTTTTCTTTATCTCAGCTCTGGTAAATCCATGAAAAACAGATGAAAGCCAAATCTTTCATTATTTCTAAATCCCTGATTATGACATATTTCTCCTACAATGTGTCCCAAAAGAATGAGAAAAGCATCTGTAACCACGCACAGGTTATGTTGTAGTCCCCTCAGTAGCATTTTGTCCATATGGAGCTTAATTCTGTAAACTACCTATAACTAGGTATAAAATTCAGACAGAAAATAGCAATTTATCACAAGTGTCCAGCTGGCTTCTTCTTCTAAGTGGTTATTTCCTAATCTGCAATCCAGCCATTCACTGCCCACTCACATTTTTGAGCTATAAAATCAATAATAAATAGCAAGAACATTCCCTTGAGAGCTTAGCCATGCATTCCAACTGGGAAGAACAAATGAAGGGCAATGCCATAGAACTGTGTGCTTGGGTTTTAATAGAAGAAATAAAAAATGGAAAAATGGAAGTTGCTCCTTTCATCCAGTTGATCAATAATGCAATGTAAGCTTAAGCTTAAAATTCTCCCTAAATCAAGAAATGTTCTTTAAAAGAAAACCTTTAGAGAAATAATTTTTTCAATTAGTATAATATTTGAAAGATTCTTATATATTTTACTGACTTAGTGATCTTTCTTCAACATAATTGAACCTGATCAGTTCAAAATACCCATTTTGGGTCCTCTTCAAATTGAAGTCTGGAAATCTTTAAAATGTTGACAGACATTTTAATGAAAGTTAAACAGTACACTGACAAAGTGCACTGTTACCTCCAGTTGCATTTCCAACAGAACTGTGCTCTCTAAAAATATTTGTAAAATAGATATGTACATGCACACATAGACACATATACCCATATATACACTTTTTACACACACACACTCACATGCAAACATAATGAAATCAGGTAAGAAACTATTTTAGCAATTCCAGATAGGACTAATTTGTTCAAACAGTGTATATATATGGATATTTTATATGAACACTGTTCATTTGTATGTTTATGTACATATCTACAAATGTTTGAGTGAATTCTTACCATCTAGAAACTAGTTACTACTAATTTCACTTTAGAGGTAATAAACTAATTCAAAAATTAATTTAACCATGATCACATGACTAGCATTTATCTTACTGATAATTTGAACTCAAATAGGACCAATTCTAAAGCCCTCATTTTTAATTATATAATTCTGTCTTCCATAGTAAAATCAATACAACAAAATTAAATCTATTGGAAGGCAGCTTACAATTAAAAGACAGTTGAGTACAACAGAAAACAAATTAGTCATATCAGGAATGGCCAAATAGTTTCTTTTCTGAATTATGTCTGTATGTGAGTGTAGAAATATGTATATATGGGTATTTTGTATGAACACTGTTCGTATGTGTATTTATATACATATCTACAAACATTTATATACATATCTGTGTATGCAACATATCTACATATACTAGTATACATGTACATTTATATACCTATAAACGTAAATATATATATACAAAAATACACACATACATAAACACATATAAAATTTAACATATTATGCACTGATCAGGTATTATCCTTCTGTCATATTGTTGTATCCATGGTTTATTGTTTTCCCAGAAGTGTGTTATAGGAAAATTAAATAAATAATCCATTATGACAGAAATATTTTCCATGATTCTGCTTTTTATAATAGTATATATAATAAAATATGATATACCCTTTTGTTCTCAAGGCCTTGCAAACTAATTGATAAACATAAATACAAAATTTGTAAAACTGTAGAAAAGTTATCATTAATAAATACCAATGCTAACTCATTAAATCTATCTAGGAACTAGTTATTACTAATTTTACCTTAGAAGTAGGAAACTAATTCAGACATTAATTTAACCAAAATCATATGACTAGCATTTATCTTACTGGTAATTTAAACTTAAATACAACCAATTCTAAAGCCCTCATTTTTAATTGTCTATTCTGACTTCTATAATAAAATCAATACAGTAAAATTAAATCTATTGGAAGGCAGCTTACAATTAAAAGACAGTTGAGTACAATAGAAAACAAATTATTCATATCTGAAATGGCTTGTAAAATTTTCATAAAAGGATAAATTTAATTATGTCTTAAAATTAGGTTAGTCATTGAAGAAAAGAGCAGTCTTAATGTGCAGAATTTGTGAAGTGGGAAGGCACAGATATGCATAAAGCAGACAATAAAATAAAATTAGCTAGACTGTCAGATCCAAGAAGGTCCACGTTTGGAGATTTTGTTGAAAATGTTGATTATAGCCAAATTCAGAGGGACTTGAATGTTTGAACAATATCTTGGCACATAAAAACACTCTATAAATGTTTTCTGCCTGAATAAATTAATGTATCCTGTAGGCAGTAGGTCACGTGGATGGTTTTCAGTGTAAAAGCATGGCACGATGACAGTATTGCTTTATAATGATTATTCTGGTGGCATGATTCAGCATGAATAAAACTGTAGATTGAAAGACTTCTAAGCATAAGATTAACAGTGAATAATTTAAAAGAACGAATGGGTAAAATAGATATTTGGAAGTCATGTCATCAAGTCAAATGTCCAAGGTCTCTGGAAATAAAATAAATCATTAAATACGATTCAAAAACATATATTGAACACCTACTAGGTGCCATATAAACAGGTGTGGAAACAAAAGGGGACATGAATTCACAGGTGGAATTACGTTAACAATGTGAAAAAAGCAGAGAAGCGTAGAGGGGAGTGATTACTATGAGATTAAGAGTAACAGGAAAGTCATCAGAAATAGCTGGTTAGACTTCACCTTGAATGAAAGTTGAACTTGTCCAAAGGACACGTATTGCATAATAAAAAAATCTGCTTTCTAAGAATACAGTTTGCTTGTAGTAAAATTATTGCAATAAGGTGAAAATACAGAAATGTAGTGTTATTTATATATACACATATATGTGCAATTATTTCCAGATATTACAAAAGGCAGTTTGGTAGCCAGTTCTAAATTCTTGGAGAAGGAGAATTTTGTTTTATTTTTAATGTTTTATCAAAAAATCTTAACCTATTTAGGAATACATTTCATATTTTTATATATACAGATGTATAATATTTATTTAAATCATATAGTATAGCTTAATTTCAATATTTGGCTAACATTAGTATGTCTTAAAATTTTATGAGTTCAACATTTTGAGTTGCAATGCTTTGGAATGAGTACTTTATATTAATGCTGTTCTTATCCATAAAAATATTGAGCATTATATTGTATATAGTATACAGTAGTGTCCTCTTATCCACGGGGGAAATATTTTTCTTTGTTGTTGTTGTTTTGAGACAGATTCTTGTTCTGTCACCCAGGCTAGAGTGCAGTGGCGTGATCTCAGCTCATTGCAGCTTCTGCCTCACTGGTTCAAATGATTCTCCTGTCTCAGCCTCCCGAGTAGCTGGGACTACAGGAGCCCGCCACCACACCCAGCTAGTTTTGTACTTTTAGTAGAGGCAGGGTTTCAACATGTTGGCCAGGCTGGTCTCAAACTCCTGATCTCAGGGGATCCACCAGCCTCGGCCTCCCAAAGTGCTGGGATTACATGCATGAGCCACTGTGCCCAGTCCATGGGGGATACATTTCAAGATCTTCAGTGGGTGCCTGAAACTGTGGATAATATTGAATCCTTTATACACTCTGTTTTCTTTTTTAATAAAACATACCTATGATAAAGTTTAACTTATAAAATTGGGCACAGTAAGAGAGTAGAATAATTATAACAATCTACTCTTCGTAAATTCACAGATATAAGATTCTTACTGTATATCTTAGCAACCTCAGTATATGGTTATTTTTCTTTCCTTATTAAGATAATTTTCACCTTATCACTTAAAAGAAACACTTTTATGCATCTCTTTGGTGAATCCAAATTGCCAGCATTATGACTTTCGCACTTTGGGGCCATTATTAAGTAAAATAAAGGTTGCTTGAACATAAACACTACAATACAATTCAACAATCACCTACTAAGGGGATGGCTACTATTGAGCAGGTAGCATCTACAACATGGATACCCTGGACTTTCCATGGAATGTGAAACCACAGATAAGAGGAGACCGCTGTGTATGGTGAAATAAATTTTATATTGCATAAACAAAACTTGTTTGAAATTCTTTCTTTTTTCTTTTTTGGAGACAGGGTTTCACTCTGTCTTCTAGGCTGGAGTGCAGTGGCATGGTCATAGCTCACTGCAGCCTCAAACTCCTGACCTCAAGAGATCCTCCAGCCTCAGCCTCCCAAGTATCTGTGACTAAAGGCCTGAGCCACCAGGTGCAGCCAGTTGAAAATTCTCTGAATTCATTCCTAACCTCTCTTTAGTCAGAAAATCCATGATGTGTTATATTTGTTTCTAGATTGCTAGTGCTCTAGCAAAATAAACAAAGTTCAACACTAACATCACCAACATAACACCAAAATACTCTGCAATTCAAATGTAACAATAGGGCACATTTCATTGAAGAATAGTTGTTAGATGTGATTAAGGACATTTATCCTTTCAAGATATGATAGTAGCAGAATTTTATGTTTTATATACAAGTGTTCCCTTTGTTCTTGTGTACACATACAGTGAGTGTCTAATGAAGTGTTTTGTTTGTATATTCTCAGGTATAGCGTCCCCCAGCTGTAGCTCTAAATTTCTAGACTAAATTATGAATGTGACATGGTGATTTT